TACCCCATGCTTATTATTCTAGCTTCATTTTGGATGGGTGGGTTTATCTTGACAACAGTGAATCTTCAGTTTTAGGGCCCTTGCTTTCATTGGTCCCTCCACGGTCCTGGGGGAAACATAGCCATGTGTTCACCTGGGCACATGTTTTTGGAAATTTGGCAGAAGATATTTAACTGTAATCCTTTAAGATCAATGTCTCTTCCCACTCCCACTTTCTATCACACTGTGTTGGTGATGGCAATGGAGGACCCAAAGGATGCAGCTAAGGCACAGTTGAATTAGGTATACATTTAATTTAGGTTCAGAGATGTTTTGGGCTGAATGTTTGTTTTCCCCCAAAGCTCATATATTAAAACTAGAGGCCAGGTGCATGAAATTTGTACATGGGAGTGGGGGGAGGGGTGGGTGTCCCTCAGCCCAGCCTTCACCCTCTCCAATCCAGGACCCCTTAGGGAATGTCTGACTGCCAGTTTAGGCCTGATTGTCGGACATCCCTCTCACAATCCGGGACCGCTGGCTCCTAACCGCTCACCTGCCTGCTGGCCTGATCCCTCTAACTGCTCTCCCCTGCTGCCCTGATCCCCCTAACTGCTCTCCCCTGCTGGCCTGATCGCCTCTAACCACCTCTGCCTCGGCCCCACCACCATGGCTTTGTCCAGAAGGTCGTCCGGAAGATGTCCGGTCTAATTAGCATATTACCCTTTTATTAGTATAGGTCTTAACCCTCAATGTGAAGATGGGCCTTTGGGAGGCGATTAGGTCATAATCCTCAGGTGAGGATGAACAACAACAAAATCATTGTCTTATGACGAGATGATCAAAGAATATACAGAAAAAAAGTAGAGAAAAATTATTAAAGAGTTATATCATGCAGCTAATTAGTAAAAATATGTTGGCTCTATCTAGATTGTATAATATTTGTGGTATTTGTCAGCTTTTTAAATTTTGTAATTTGTTATTATTTCTTCTGTTATTCTAAAAAAATTTATTTCCTAACAAATTCTGTATTTATGACTTTGTATTCTTTCTCTTTTTTAAAAATATTTTTATTGATTTTAGAGAGAACGGGAGAGGGAGAAAGAGATGGAAACATCAATGATGAGAGAGAATCATTGATGGGCTGCCTTCTGCATGCCCCCTATGGGCATCGAGCCCACAACCCAGGCATGTGCCCTTGACTGGAATCGAACGCAGGACCCTTCAGTCCACAGGCTGATGCTCTATCCACTGAGCCAAACCAGCTAGGACTGTATTCTTTCTCTTTAAGAAAAGAATACCCTAAACTTTAAAAGCTTTAAGCCCCATAAAACCTGGTTCAACCCTGGTCCTTTTGCTCCCTGTGCTCCAGCCATATTGGAATCCCTCCATGCCCACTGCTTAGGAAAGTGCCCGACACATAGTAGTATCAGGAAAATATCTGTAGATGAATGAATGACTCAGAAACTGGAGTGCTAGAATGTTAACTACATAAGAACATGAATTTTGTCTGCTTTATTCATTGTTACCTTCCCACATGCAGAATAGTGGCTGGCATACAGCTGGTGCACAATAAGTATTTTAAAGAACAGACCCAGGCCTGTTCAACTGCAGACCATGCTTCTTTCTATTGCCTCCAGTTATTTCCAGTTCACAAAGCATTTTCCCAAGATCCCCTTCACAGATCTAAGCGGTGTCATTTTCATTTTAGATTTAAGGTTAAATGGAGGCTCAGAGGAGAAGTTACTTGCCCCAGGTGACTAAGGGGCAGAGCTGAAATTGAAGCCCAGATCTCAAGGGCCAGAAAGCCTTATCCTCCTTGGTCCTCCCAATAAGATGCCCCACAATTAGAAAGCACGTGGTGAAGGAGCCAGTCCTACAACCCAGAGCAGGCAGGTTCCGGAAGAATGACTGTGCATGGACAGTAGGTGGCGCCCATCCACACAGTAGTTACCCTGACTGATACCTCTTGGTTAAGAGACACAAAAACATTTGTCAAACACCAAACTTTGAATTGCCAGTATAATTTGCTCCCAATGGCCCCGCTTTTGCTTCCTTGGCCATTGCTCTTTAGGCCTGAATAGAAAAACCGAGTCTTTCCCTCCTGAGTAGGGAAAAACCCAGTTCTCCATCTCCTGTGTGTTTTCCCTTTACTTTTACACAGAACACTTCCAAGCAATTCTCCATGACAACAGCTGGGTGTCTTACGATTTAACACAATTCTGACACTGTCTACCTGGAGGTCTCACAGGTTAAGGGCTCAGTCCCACAAGATGGCTCCCGCCCCACTTCAGATGCCAATCAGAAGTAGAAGGTCCCCAGATTACTTACAACTTCCACCCAACGTGGCTACAAATTGGAGGTTCCCGTGCCCCCTTCTTGATTCAGTTAATTTGCTAGAAGGGCTCACAGAACACAGGGAAGCACTCACTTACCTTTAGCAGCTCATGAAAGGATACCGAGGAGCAGCCAGATACAGAGATGCACAGGGCAAGGTCTGGGAGGGTCCCCAGTGCAGGAGAGTGTCTACACCCTCCTGCTATGTGGATGCCCCAAATTGGAAGCTCCCCAAATCCCCTACTAGTGGGATTTTATGGAGTCTTCCTCATGTAGGCATGAACAATTAGTACCGCCATTTCCAGCCCCTCTCTCCTCTCTGGAGGATGGGGGATGGGGATGGGAATTCCAAGCTTCCAACCATGGCTTGGTCTTTCTGGTGATCAGTCCACATCCAGGAGCCATCTAGGAGCCCACCCAGAATCAATATAATTAGGAATTTACAAGGGTTTTAGGAGCCTGTGTCAGGGTCAAACAAATGTTAGCACAAGAGATGCCTCCAGTGCTGACAGGACAAGGAAGCTAAGAGAGACTGGAGCATGTGTCTGACACCCTGGTACTCACCAGACTCTCCCTCTGTTTCCCACACTTCCCAGCTGCCTCCTGGAACAGATCATGTGACCTATTCTATTGAATGGGCTGTGGGAGGAAGGGACATATACTAGTAGCACTTCCTGTCTAAAGTGTCATAGAGCCAGTGTGTGACTCTCCAAATGTATCTTCCTAGCTTGGCATTTGGTGGATGCCCATGGGGCCTGGGACCTAGAACCTTGACAAGAGGGTGCTGGTTGGTGCCCTGGGGAGAAATTGCTGCTGTGAGGTGAAGTATGGCAAGGTGGTGCTGCTCATAGGAACAGGAAGCTACAGAGAACAAAGATGAAGAAGTGAATTCTTTCTCCCTCCTCCAGCCTTGGGGTGTCCCTCTAGCCCCATCCTGATTATTGGCAAAGTCTAACAAACTCTAACATGGGGCACTGGTAACACAGAAATGTGGTTCGTGAAGCCTGAGCCCCAGCCCCAGCCCCAGCATCACAGTGCGGTTTTTTTTTCAGTATTTATTTTTGTGTTATATTAAAAATATAACACAAATGTTGCCATTTTAGCATTATAAGTGTACAGTTCAGTGTGGCATCAAGTACATTCACACTATTATGCCACCATCACACCATCCATCCAGAATGTTTTTCATCTTGCAAAACTGAAACTCAGTACCCATTAAACTCCCCACTCCCACTCTCCAAGCTTCTAGAAACCACTATTCTACTTCGTGTCTTTATGGATTTGACTACTGTAGGCACCTCATATAAACGGAATCATACAGTATTTGTCCTTTTGTGATTGACCGGCTTATTTCACTCAGCATAATGCCTTTGAAGTTCATCCACGTTGTAGCATGTGCCAGAATTTCCTTCCTTTTGAAGGCTGAATGAAATTCCACTTTATGTATATATCACATTTTGCTTATCCATTTAGCTGTCAATAGAGAAGTATTTTTGTATTATCAACTATTATATTTAAAAAGTCTCCGATTAGTCTGGCTGTAAACATTGTACATATAATGCAAATCCCCCACACTCTGTGTTTGTATGCAATGAGTTTACTTTTTCAAAACCATAAAAACAATATGCTAACAACATGCAAGTTGATTTTAAAAAATAGAAAGGCCTACCAATCATCAGACCATCCTAACAACAGGGTGTTTTATTTTCACCTCTCCTATGTTTTCAAAGCTATAACTCCTGCACCCCATCCCACTGAATGTTCTGCCACATCATAAACCTTGTTGCCTGCTATTACAGGGTTGTTATTGCCAACCCAGAATGAGTGAAATGCTGTTTTCTTCATCACTTCCCTCCTTTGCTTCTGTGAACATCTGGATTGTATTCTCGAGGACTGTTTTGGTTGCAAATGAGGGAAACCCTACTCAAAGCTGCTTAAGCAAAAACAAATTGGTGTGTGTGGTGGTGGTGGTGGAATTCACTGGCCTCAGTCACTGGAAAGAACGCAGGAGTAACTCATTGAACTGGGACCTGAAACCAGGGACTAAAACGAGCAAGCACTCTACCTCTCAGCCTATCTCTCGTGTGATCCTCTCTCTACTTCTCTTTTAAGATTAGCCTTTTTCTTTCTGAGCACAGACAGGTCTTCCCCACCTGGCCGGTTACATGGCCTCTGGCAGCCCCAGCTTTGCAACTGCAATAGAACAAGCATCCAGCTAGCAATCCCAGAGAAGGGCTGTGATTGGCTGTGCTGACCCACTCAGCCAACCCACTTAGCCAATCCTGTTGTTAGAGTGGCCATGCATTATAATTGGGCAGGCCTGGTCACATGTCCACCCCTACGGCCAGAATGGTGACAGCGTCTGTTGCTTTCAGATAAAGGGGAATGAGAAGTCCTGTTGGAAGACAGAAAACAACCATCAAGCTTTACGCAGGCTTCTGCTTGTCACCATGGCAAGGCTAGATAAACTTCCTCACATACTGAGCTCTTGGTTCTAACAATTACTTTTTGAGAAATTCCCAAGGGTAGGATTACTTGATGGTGCTTTCCAGAACCATGTAACATATTTGTGTTTTTCAAAGCATGTTCACACCCAATACCTTATTTGTGCCTCATCAAAAAAATGCTCATAACGGACAGAGAAAGAACCAGTGACACAGAGAAGTTGAGTGATGGGTCCAGGGACATTTAGTAGATGAGGACAGAGGTGAACCTAGGGACTTCTTGACTCCCATCCCAGTGTCCCCCACCCCAACAGCATCACAAAACTTAGATTAGTGGTGGGGGGTTCAAGCCCAGGGTCATCTCTGACCAGTTAGGGGAGGGAGCTTCGCCGGCCATCTACCCCTTGGAGGAGCTGGGCCAGCCGCCTGGATGACACGGGCTGGTGACCCCGGCCTTCGGAGCCTGCTCGAGCTCTGATGGGCGATGTCCCTCTGCTGGACACGGCATCCTCCCAGTGGGCACTCTCGGAACGCAGCTCCTCCAGGACACTGCGAAGATGCCTCAGTGTGAGCAGGAGCTTCTGGTCTTGGATCTGCATCTCGGCCTGGGAGAGAGAGAACAGGTCTGCGAGGTGCGGGCAGTGCACTGGACGCTCCCCCAGAAAGCCTGTTCTCATTACCGTCTCGCCGGAGACAAGCCCACAAGCTCAAAGAAGCCGTTTGCACCAAAGCCTCAGTTTCTTCATCTGCAAAGCGGAAAGCAAATTACCTACCTCCCAGGGCTCTTACTGTAACCAGCTCAAGATGGTCCTCTGCTGTTCAACGAGATACTGAGTTGCTTTTCAGACAAAGCAGACCAAGACCACAATCATGCAGCCGGAGCATGGCACAGAGGAGAGAACTTTGGCCTCCAGCTGCACCCAGAACCAAGGTCTCACCACAACCATCCCCCCGCCCCACCTCCCATCCTCCACCTCCCATGCCCCAGCCCGCACCTCACAGAACCACAGGACCAGGACATAATCGGAACTTGAACACTGGAATCCTTTCAGAAGTCAGGGTTCTATTGTCCAGGAAGATCCAGTGTTGATGCCTTTTTACCACCAATGGCCAGGTTCCGAGGTCCTCTAATTAAGACGTGCCCCAGCAGCACCAGCACTTCCTCAGAGCCCCTTAAGAACCCTTGGCCTGGTCCAGTGGGCAAGATGGATCTGAGGCACCACTAGGTCTCCCATCTTCTCGGTGGGTGCCTTCTTGATCAATAAACCTTTCCTTATTCCAAACCCAGACTTTTTGAGTTTTGGCCTTTCAAAGCATTGGGCACACAGACTTCGGTCCAGTAACATTATGAGGATGGAATGAATTAGTTCCCACTCTAAAATAGGACATGCGGAACTACCAAGATCTGTGATGATCTTCATTATCATCATCAATATTAAACATGATTCTTCTTATTTACAACCCCACTTATATGCTATAACCCTCACTAACAAATCATTTTATAGGCATTAAGGAGATAGTGACTTCATATTAAAGTGAAGTACACCCTGCAGGCAGTAGTAATAACACCAAGAGAGCAGGGAGCTAGAAAGAGGAAACCCCCGAGAACACACAGCCATCCCTTCCCAATTCCTGGGAAAACGTTGCCTGTGTTTTCTCAATTTTAGGATTTTCCTCCCACACATTTTTTAAAAAATATATTTTTATTGATTTCAGAGAGGAAGGAAGAGGGAGAGAGATAGAAACATCCATGATGAGAGAGAATCATGGATCGGCTGCCTTCTGCAAGTCCCTCACTGGGGATTGAGCCCACAACCTGGGCATATGCCCTTGGCCTCCACTCCCCATTTTCCTCACTGCTCTGGGCTTGCACCTCCAAAATGAATTGTTAGTACCCCAATCCTTGTGCAAGCCTCTGCCCCAGGCGGACACAGAGCGCACCCAGGCTAAGACAGCGGCTGTACTCCACAGCCACCTGGGTCAGGATTGTAGCAGACGTGCCGAGCAGACACTGAGCGAATTACACCATCTTCTCACCGAACCCTTTCAGTAAGCCCTGCAGTGTTGGTACAACTGTTACCCCCATCTTATGATAAGGAAACTGAGGCTCAAAGAGGTAAAGCCACTTGGTAGAAGCCACACAGCAGCAGAGCTGGGCACATACCCAGGACTCAGTGTAATTTCTGAAAACGGTCTGGCACGCAGTGCACCCAGAGCCTCCTATGTGGGCCATGACCTACTTATCCCTGTGCCTGAGGTGGCGACTGTGCGCTGTGTGGCTGGTCCCAGAGGGCTGCCTGCAGGGCCTGCACCCCAGCCTGCAGCCTCTGTCCCAGCCAATGGGCACCTGGGAAGGGGGACCAGCGAACCTTGGCATACGTGGGGTGGAGGCGTCAGGTAAAAAGAAATGCAGAGCCTTACCAGTTCCTTCCTCAGCCACTCCAGGGTCTGCCCAAGACTCGGGGTTGGCTCTTCTGCTGTTTTCATCTCAGTGTCCTTGGGAGAGACCTTGACGCTGGCCTGGTGATGGGCCTGGCGGACCGTTGACTTGCACAGTCTCCTGCCTGCTTCAGGCTGGAAGCAGAGTCTGGCCAAATCACCGAGGATGAAGTTAATGAGACCAGGAAGTGGCTCACATTGGAAAATGTAGGGTTTTTTTTTTTTTTAAGTGTTTCAGTGCTCTAAAGAGAAAAAGTAGGGAGGGCAGGAGGGAGACCGCTGGGATAACAGTGCCTCCGTGCCTGCGAGTTCCAGAATCCAAGATCTGATGCCAATAGGACTACAGAGACTGCAAAGCCTCACATGATGAAAACAACAATTATTATGGGAATAGGGGTCCTCTTCTGAGGGCTCCAAGTGACATATATATCTATAGTCTCTCCCTCTAAAACATGTATTTCTATTATTTATATATGAAATCTCACTTGAGGCAAATACCCCATCTATTCCTGCTGTGTCCCCAGTCCCTCCCCCCCCTTCCTCACTTATCCATCGCGTCTAGATAAAGGGGAATGTTCACTCCCTAAGTCCCCCTGCTTCTGGGATGCCCAGGTGTCCCATTTCTAGTGAATGGGATCAAAACAGAAATTTGCTCTGAGACTGCTAGGAAAACTTTTGTCTAGCTGGCAAAAGGGAAAGTGTCAGCGATGCTCCCCTTTCTTCCTACTTTTTTCTTCCCCATCTTTCTGCCTTGAATGTGGGAGTGATGCCTGGAGCTACAGTAACCAGCTTACACCCCTAAGTAAGACAAAGGGCAAGAAAACTGCACAGGCTTTGCGATCACGGAGTCACAGAATCACCAATAGCATCTGCCTGTTTTGTGAGACAGTGAACCCCAGTTTTAATTGGGCAAACACAGCCTTAACTGACACCCCATTTATTCTTCACAACTTGCTATGAAGCAGATATCCTTTACTGTTGTTGTTAATCTTCACCCGAGGATTTTTTCCCATTGGTTTTTACAGAGAGTGGAAGGGAGGGGGAGAGACAGAGAGAGAGAAACATCCATGTGAGAGAGACACATTGATTGGTTGCCTCCTGCACGCACCCCGACCAGGGCCAAGGATCGAGCCTGCACCCTATGTATGTGCCCTTGACCGGAATCGAACCCAGGACCCTTCAGTCCACAGGCTGACGTACTATCCACTGAGCCAAGGGCGAGGGCTGAAGTGGATACCCTTTAATTCTCTTTCCACAATCACTCATTGAGTGCCTACTGTGAGCCAAGTTCAGCTGTAGGAACTGGGTACAGAGGCTGGATTGTCACAAGGACCTCTCAAACCTCTCCAAAACCCCATGCTTTCAAACAACAATTGTTTATTTTCACCTTTGAGTGGTGGGTTGGTGGGGGTGGTCTGCGTCAGACTTCAGACCTGCAGAGTTGAGCCTGCTTCCTGGGTCTCTCGTCCTCCTCCTCGAATCACTGGGCCTCTGGGGTGTGTTCTTCCCTTCTCAGTGGCAAAGGATAAGAGAGCAAGTGGAACCCCGTGCGGCCTCTTAAAGCCTACGCTCAGGATTGTCACTTTCAACACATTCCATTGGGCACAGTGAGTCCCATGGCCAAGTCCAAGGTAAGGGGCAGGGATGCACCCTCCACCCAGGAAGAGGTCACGTCAAGTGTGTGGAGTTGGGGAGGGGTGGGGAAGTGGGACCAACAATCCTACACCAGGAAGGAAGTTAGTTCAGAAGTGGGGCCAGAGCCTGGAGGGGCCCAGAGGAAAGGCAGCAAGCGGAAACCAGCAGGCGGTGGGAGTCGGAGACAGGAAGTATGGCTGTGTGGCCGTGGCAGGAGACCCAGAAAGAACTAGAGAATTGAAGGATAATGTAGGACAGTCAGCATTTGTTGATCTACTCCAGACCAGGTATCATGGCATCCATAACTTCATTTCATCTTCAAAAGCTTCTGGCTTTGCCGAAACCGGTTTGGCTCAGTGGATAGAGCGTCGGCCTGCAGACTGAAAGGTCCCAGGTTCGATTCCGGTCAAGGGCATGTACCTGGGTGCGGGCACATCCCCAGGGGGTGTGCAGGAGGCAGCTGATCGATGTTTCTCTCTCATTGATGTTTCTAACTCTCTATCTCTCTCCCTTCCTCTCTGTAAGAAATCAATAAAATATATTTAAAAAAAAAAAAAAAAAGCTTCTGGCTTCAATTCCCAAACCATGTGCTGAGGCACCCTGAGGTATGGCAGAAATCTCACAGATGTACAACAAAGTATTTTTAAAATTTGAAGAAAACACAATAACCTCTGTTGGGTACTGTGTAAATTACAATTATTAAGTTGTTTAAAATGAATTGCTTAATAACTGTTAGGTATTTCTTTGGGCCTGGCACACTGTGAAAAAATTACTGACATGCTAAGTGCTGGGGTCCAACCCCAGCAGGTCCAGGGGTCCCCAAAGGTGTGGATGGAGTCAGCGAAGAAGGAATGACACGGAGACAGCGTTCAGTTGATCAGCAGCCTATCCAGGATCTCTAGCCAAGTTCTGGTCAGGATCTCCAGCCAGTTCTGTGTCCATGTTCTCTTGCTAGGTTCTCCAGCCAGGTTCTCCAGGTTCTCCAGCCAGGTTCTGTAGCCATGTTCCCTCGCTAAGTTCTGTCCAGGTTCTCCAGCCAGGTTCAGTCACCAGGTTCTATCAGGTTCTCTTGCCATGTTCTGTCCAGGTTCTGTAGCCAGGTTCTGTCTCTAGGTTCTTCAGCCAGGTTCTCTCGCTAGGTTTTGTCTCTAGGTTCTGTGGCCAGTTTCTGTCCAGGATCTTTTGCCATGTTCTCTCCAGCGAAGTCCTTCTGTCTCTAGAGAACGTTCTGTGTAGGTTCTGTGCCTCCTGGTTCTGTCTTCTAAGTTCTGTGTTCTAAGTTCTGTCTCCTGTTGTCTTGTTACATCTGTATTTATGCCAGTTGATTCAATCCTATCAATCTCTATTCCAAAGGTTAGGGCGTTTCTTATCTCCATTCCAGGGAGTAAAGATTATGTAGCTTAAGCATGATTGTTCATAGTTAAAGTGATTAATTACCCGCCTGGCACTTAGTTAAGAGGTTTTATTCCCTCCCTAACTTCAGGGGAAAATCCCTACCTGGGGAAACAACCTTTCTCAGAGACCTTGGTTAAAACACATAGTGCCAAGAAGGTGAGCAAACATATTAAGAACAGTACGCCATATATGCCAGGTCCCTTGAAACAGCAAGCATGGACCAGCTCCTGGCAGCTAAGGGTGCTGTGAACTGAGGAAGTTTAGGAACCTCTGCCTGCGAGGGAGGCACCATTGTTATCTGCATTTTATAGTTGAGTACAGATAGATCCTACTATTCGCCCCTTTTTCTAGATGAGGAAACTGACATTCAAAGAGGCCCTGGCCCTGGCCGGTGTCACTCAGTGGTTAGAGTGTCTGCCTGAGGACCGAAGGGTCGCCAGTTCAATTTCCAGTCAAGGTTGCAGGTTCAATCCTCCTCCTCCCCCCATCTCCCCCCCAGTCAGAGCACGAGCAGGAGGGAATCAATTGATGTGTCTCTCTTATGGTGACGTTTCTCTCACTCTCTCTTCTCCTCCCCCTTGCTTCCACTCTCTCTAAAAATCAATGGAAAAAATATCTTCACTCCTCTGATGAGGACTGAAAAAACAAAACAAAACCAAGAGGCACGGATTTCTCAGGATCACCCCCGCAGGGCTGGAATTAGAACCTGTTCCCCCTGACCTGTGTGGAAGGCCTTGCCTGTTGTTTTGAAGTGATGGAGCGCCAGGCAGGGGCTCGAGCCAGCCATCTGCTGAGCTCCTGGGCAGGCCCAGTGGGTTCTCTGCCCGACACAGTGGAGAGTCGATAGGAGTGCGTGGCAGTTGGAGTCTGGCGCTCGGTCCTTGGCCTCCAGTGCTGACACCTGATCACCTGGAAAGCCATTTCTCGTGGTTAACTTGTTCTGATGCATTTTCATTTATTTTTAATCTTGGGATTCTGGCTCATTTTACTTCATAAGCTCAGAAAGGCTTGGCATGTGGGGTAAGGGAAGGGGGAGCCAGGAGGCCTGGAACAGAAAGGAACTTAAACTCTGAGCAAGGAAAAATGTCTTCACCAAATACAAAAGCCAGAATCGCCATCTATTCATCATCCATGGGCAGCTAATACTATGGCTTCCATGTGTCAGACCCTGCACTGATGCTGGGGGTACAGGGATGCTGGGGTATAGCGGTGAGCAAGAAAGAGCCCCACAGCTGACCTCATGGGGCTTATGGTCCAGCTGGTAAGAGGACCCATTAGCAGTCAAGTGGTTCAAAAATAGTACTTTGTAACACAAGCCTGGCACATATACTAGTACTAGAGGCCCAGTGCACGAAATTCATGCACTGAAGGGGGGGGGGGACCCTTAGCCCAGCCTGCGCCCTCTCAGAGTGTGGGACCCCTCAGGGGATGTCTGACTGCCGGCTTAGGCCCGACATCCCTCTCACAGTCTTGGGCTTTAGCAATCTGGGACCCCTCGCTCCTTACCACCTGCCTGCAGCGGAGGCGAGAGAGGCTCCCGCCACCACCACTGCACTTGCCAACCATGAGCCTGGCTTCTGGCTGAGTGGCACTCCCCCTGTGGGAGCGCATAGACCACCAGCGGGCAGTTCCTGCATTGAGCATCTGCCTCCTGGTGGTCAGTGCACATCATAGTGACCGGTTGTTCTGCTGTTTGGTCAGTTTGCATATTAGGGTTTTATTATATAGGATATGTAGAATGAATACATGAGTGAAGGAATGAAGGGATTTGCAAATGAAACTGTGGCTCAGATGGAGATACGAGTTGCCCAAGCAATTCAGCAGCTGTGGCAAACATCAGTTGTCCTTTGATATCCCTTCTCCTAGTCACTCATAGCAAAGACACAGTCCCAGTTTTCCTTGTAGGTAAGTGTGGCCATGTGGTTAAATCCTGGCCAATGGGATACAAATGGAAGTGATCTGTGCAATTCCTGGGTTGTGCCCTTAAAAGGAAGGAGGAGGGGCCCTGCCTCTTCCCTCCTCCTCCTGCTGACTGGAATGTAGCCACAAGGGCTGGAGGTGGCGTAGCCAGCTTGGACCACAAAGTGGAGGACAGCAGAGCAACACGATAGCAGGAACCCAGGTCTCTTGTGACTGATGAAGCCACCATGCCAGTCCTAACT